CTTTTCGTGAATCGGCTTGCTTTTAAAACGCTTTTTTAAACACCCCTTTTTTTCCCCGGGGGGGTTTGTCGCGCTGCTGATGACATCAGGTACGCGCTTTCGTCGAGCGCGCTTTAGTCTACCGCGGTTTTGTGGTGGAACCTATAACCCTAACCCTAACCCTTTATAGCGTTGTTTTTGCGTCCCACTATGTTGTTTGTTGATGGCGGGCGTGGTTTCTTCAGCGTGGTTTTGTCGGCGCGCATTTGACGGGTCACGGTTTCAGGGATGGTCTATGGTGGGCAGCCAGCTTAATCATCTACTTCATCAAATTATTCATCAAAGCTACTATCAGGTACCACACCATTCATAAAGTTTAAAGTTAAAGGCATGATTAGTCATACAACCTTGTTTTACTCCTCTTACACCAACCTGGAGGTCTTACAAGCAGGACAGGGGATTAAACATTGTCAAACCCCCCCCCCCCCCGTCCAAAAATATTAGCTATTAATCATTCTTTTTTGTTGCAGAATTGGTCAAGCAGGTTTATCAAGAAGACAGCTAAGTGAGTTTTGTCCTATTTTACGACCTTTCTTGCCACAGTTGTTAAGTGAATCACTGCAGATAGTAACATGGTTGTTAAGTGAACCAGCTTTCCCATTGACTTTGCTTTTCAGGAGGTCACAAAAGGGGAACACGTGACCCTGGGGCACGGCAACGGTCGTAATATGAGTCAGTTGCCCAACATCTGCATTTTGATCACGTGACCATCGGGATGCCGCAACGGTCACAACGGCATGAGAAACGGTCGTGTCACTTTTTTCAGTGTCATCGTAATTTCAAATGGTCACTAAGTGAGTTGATGTAAGTCGAGGATTTCCTGTACTTGCCTCCTGACAACTGATGCAAATATGCAAGTGGTGGCAGGGGTGTGAAGTTGGCACGGAATTGCAATTTTAATCTGACAAAGGGGAATTTATTAAAAACACACAGAGAACAATCAAATTAATGACTGAATTATTTTTTTTATTGAATTTCAATTAACATTAGTATTTTTTTATTTCTTGCCTAGTCTATTTCTTTACCCTAAATCTCTACGGTACCCGGTTCCCCAAAGGTTGCCTATCACGGCTCCAGAACGTAATTGTGACTTTAATCTAGAGCAGTGTTTCCCAAACTTGGCAACTTTAAGACTTGGGAAACACTGATCTAGAGTACCGGGAAGAAAATAGATTGTAATATCTAAAAATTGCTGAGAAATGCTCTGCAGGGAGAAAAAAAAGAAATCATCTTACCTTAGGGTCACCAATTACAGCATCGAAACCCGCAGCAACCAGGACCATCTGGGGCTGGAACTGCAAACAAAACACAGTGGAGCCAGAATAAATTATCCAATTGGGAAGCCAAGGGAACAAATGCCAGGAAATTCCCAGAGTTTAAGAACAAGACTGAGGGAGTAGCTCTATGCCAAGGATTGTTTGTTTTGTGATACTTTTATATAGAACAATGTTCGCTGGGTTTTTGTATTATGACATGACAAGAGTATGAAGCTGCTTCAGGAGACTGCAGTGGACAGGGGAGAAG